TTAATTTAGTGCAGGAGGAAGCCAAGTGATAAGATACGCCAAAGCAGTAATATACTGCTATTGTTATACTCCTACACGAAATTTTAATAAATTTTAATAAACTATTTCTTTTATTTATTGGCAAGTTACATAAAAAGTCTATATCAGTTTGGTAGTGGGCAAGCAGTAATAAAGATACTTTTACTCCACTTGCTCATCGCACATTCAGATATTACACGTAATTGCATTGTTTGTGAGTGTTAGTAAGCAGGTTTAGATCGACTGATTTCCTGTCTTGCTGTGTTTAAAGATATTGCGCACAAGAGAAAGTGTGTTAGTGATACTTGAATTGTCGTGTGATTATCCTAAACTTATTGAGACTTATTTGCGTAACTTTCCACATTGTTCTGCGCAGACCGCAACACTATGATGGCAGGTGTATAATTTACCATAAGCAAAAAAAAAAAAAACGGTTAAAAGGGTCGATTTTAGCGCGGTGTCACATTTACGATTTCCTTAATTTCTTTGATAAAATTGTGTAATTTACCATATACAAAAAAAAAATTCGTTTAAAAGTGCCTTAAAAAGTCGATTTTAGCACGGTGTCACATTTAATAAATTTGTGTAATTTACCATATACAAAAAAAAATTCGTTTAAAAGTGCCTTAAAAGGTCGATTTTAACACAATGTCACATTTATGAATTTTTCATTCTGAAAAATGTCTTTACGAAAAAAAATGTTTATAAGCGCCTTAGAAAGTGGATTTATTAAAGGATTTGATTATAGTTCATTTGAAAATATTACAATAATCTCAGGAGGAGGATATGGTACAGTTTATTGTTCTTATTCAACAAATTTAGAAAAATATGTTGCATTAAAAAGTTTGCATGAAAAAGACGAATCATTTTATGAAAATTTTGTGAGAGAGGTAAAAAATAAATATTTTGCTTTCATTAAAATATATATTTTCGGGGTGAAATTAAAATTTAATACAATTTTGGAATTACAGTTAAAAAATATCCTGGCTGTAAATAACCATGACAATATTATTAACTTTTATGGAATCAGTATAGGTATTATTT